ATTTCCAATGCCGTTATAAAAGGCTTGGATTAACTGCCATTGTGCTAAATTATGGTGAGGGAATTCTCTTTGTAGGTCCTTGAACCTCTCCCAAGCCTCATATAAAGACTCATCGGCTTCTTGGGCAAAGTTCTGAATCGCACTCCGTAGTACTGCTGTTCTCTCTGCAGGATAATACTTGTTATAGAAATTCAAAACAAGAGTTTCCCGTCAGTTATACCAAGTGTAGTTCTATTTAAGCCATTAAGCCACAATTTAGCCTTTCCAGTTAAAGAGAAGGGAAAGAGAATCTCCCTGATTTGGTCTTGAGTGACCCCGACTTGCCTGATGGTGTTACAATATTGATAATAGTCGGCAATGTGAAGATTCGGGTCTTCACCCTTGGCTCCACCGAATTGCTTCCTCTCTATCATCGTTATAAATTGAGGTTTAATTTCAAATTGAACCCCATCAAGAGCCGGAGTAGGGGTGAGATGTGGAAAATCCGTAAGCTTTGGTTGTGAATAATCACTAAGCTTCTTTGGAGCCGCACTCCCTGATTCTGTGTCTGATGATGTCTCTGAATTGCTAGAATCAGTTGGAGGATCGCGGTGATTATTGTTATTATCACCAGAATCCGCCAGGATTTGCTTGTAGAAGTTTTTCTGTCTATGGAAGGAACGTTCAATCTCAGGATCGAATGGGATATAACCTGATTTGGAACACCTGGGCATAAACAAAAACTAGAAGCAAATATGAGATCTGTCTCACAGAACTTCAAAAGAGAAATAATCTAGACTACAAAAACAATCAGAAATAAAAATAAAACCGTTTCCTCGGTACGGCGCCAAATTTTGACAGGGTAAAGTCGTATCCCCTAATAAAAAATAATTATCTAAATCACTAACTAAGGTAGATAGGGAAGTAGGGTCGATCTCCACAGGGAAACAAGTCTTTTTACTTCTAATTAATTATTATAATCTAAATTATTTAAGTGACCAACTAAACTACAAAGAATAAGAGTAGGGAGAGAACGATATATAAAGGGATCTAGGGCGTAGGTTCACCAATAAATAATACTCCAGGGTAAAACATAGTAATCAATCATTGACATTGCATAAATAACATGATTAACAGGCTCTCGCAATTTATTAATCAACATAGATCTAACAGGCTCTCGCAATTTACTAGATCTAAGTCCTTATTGAAAATAGCCTTTAATATCAAATTAACATCTTCTCGATTCATCAATTTAATATTGCTATAATTTTACAAGCCGCAATTGTAAAACATTAAAACAATCCAATAAGAAATTATCATGCAATACCAATAATCAATAATAGTCAATCATCAATGCATCAATTAACCAGATTGTAAAGGGCTCTCGCTACTTATTACAATCACACAATTATTTTACCGGTATTAAATCTCATCTCTCGAATCTTGACTTAACCATTTATAAATTAATTTGCCTATTGAAACTAGACCTAAACATTAATTCTCATCTCTCGATTCTTGAATCAATATTGTGAAACTCATGCATAAAAGATAGGCCTAAGAGCATTAATCCAATCAATAGGAAATTAATCTAGCATTGATAATCAACAACAATAAATTACCCTTTCATATTATTTATTAGATCCCCATAAACCCTAGAAATTAAACTACTCACACATATTAAAAATTAAACTAATCAAAGTAATAAAATAAATCATGATGAAAGGAATAAAATAAATAACTAAGATTAAGGAAAGAGAAATCGTTATCAAAATAAATCTGGAATTAATGAAAGAATTAAGAACAAAAGTTTAGAGAGAGATTAAGAGAGAGAGAACTAAGTAGAGAGAGAAAGTCTAAGAAAGAAGAGATACTAAAATCGTATTACGTAGGAGTATTTATACTCCGTACAAAAATCCTAAACTAAAACAAATTAAAACGACGCTAATCGTCTCCTAAAAATATACGCGCCCGGGGCGCGCCTTTTGACTCTAACACTAATCTCGTGCCCGGCCGGGCGCGTCACCGGGCACCAGACCAAGCTTCTCCCGCTCGGCCAGGCGCGCCTCCGGGCGCCAGCCTTTTTGGCCGGGCGGCTCATTTGGGCCAATATTTGGACTTCGATTGGGCTCCAATTCTTCGGGCCAATCTGGGTTTCCTCCTTGGGTCTTGAATACTGGGTCCAATTGCCCCGGTATCACCTATACCGAGCCCTTAATCACCGGTTTGATGGCTCTAACCGGCCCTGGGCTATAAAATCTGGTCGTGTTTCTCCAATGCTCGTGATTGCTCCAAAATATCTCGGGAAAATACTCCAAAAGCATAAATCCCTGAAAAAGTCAACCAAATCTACGAAAACACTGGAAAACACCAATTAGTAATAAAAGTGGCTCTAAAGAGCCAAAAACACTACTAATTATGATCGAGGGACGGGGGTAAAATACTATATAAAATAGACACATTAACATGGCATAAATTTGGTCGGAAAAAGGATGGGTTACTTAGACACCCGGCTGACTCACCGCAATGGAGATTTATTGATGGACAATTCCCTGATTTTAGTAGTGAAGAACGAAACCTACGCCTTGGGTTGTCTACTGATGGTATGAATCCATATAGTTCCCTTAGTAGCATCCATAGTACATGGTCGGTCATGCTAGTGGCTTATAACTTACCTCCTTTGTTATGCATGAAAAGAAAGTACATTATGTTGTCAATGCTTATTTCTGGACCTAAACAACCAGGAAATGACATCGATGTGTATTTGGCACCTCTCATTGATGACTTAAAGTTATTGTGGGAAGAAGGTGTAGAATTGTTTGATGCTAATCGGAATGAAATGTTCAATTTAACAGCAATGTTATTTTGCACCATACAAGATTATCCAGCATATGGTAATCTTTCTGGATATTCTGTAAAAGGGGAAGGTGGTTGTCCTATATGTGAAGATGGTTGGAAAGGAAAATGGTTATCGACATCTAGAAAGACGGTCTACTATGATCATCGTCCATTTCTTCCTTTGGATCATAAGTATCGTCGAATGAAGAAAGCTTTTAATGGGGAACAAAATTTTGAAAGTCGCCCAAAAGTCTTTACTAGCCAAGAAGTATTTGAAAAGGTGAAAGACATCCAACTTACTTTTGGCAAGTTAAAGAAAAATAAAGATGCCATTCCTAAGAAAGGGTACAAGAAGTGTTGTGATTTTTGGCGACTTCCTTATTGGAGATTTCTCTTTGTCCGACATTCTCTAGATATTATGCATATCGAAAAGAATGTGTTTGATAGTTTGATTGGCACACTATTGAATATTTCAAGGAAGACAAAAGACGGTGTTAATGCTCGACTTGACTTGAAGGAAATGAATATGAGAAATGAGCTCCATGCCGTTGAGACTGGAAAACGGGACTATTTGCCACCTGCTGCTTATACACTGTCTAAGAAGGAGAAAGTTGAGCTTTGTGCATCCTTAGCCGGAGTTAAAGTGCCTGATGGTTATTCTTCAAACATTTCTTCTCTTGTTTCAATGGAGAATTTGAAACTCGTGGGCTTGAAGTCTCGTGACTGCCATGTTCTTATGCAAGATCTCTTACCTATTGCTATTCGTTCAATTTTGCCAAAAAATGTACGATATGCCATTATCAGGTTATGTGTCAATTGCCAAAAGATTTGGATTCCTTAGAAACTGAAATTGCTGTTATTTTGTGTCAATTGGAGATGTACTTTCCCCCGGCTTTTTTTGATGTAATGATACATTTTCCAGTTCATTTGGTAAGGGAGATTAGATTTTGTGGTCCCGTGCATAATAGAGCTTAATGGGCCTTTGAAAGACAAATGAAAACTTATAAGGGGTATGTTAAGAATGCTTATCGACTTGAGGCTTGTATCGCTGAGAGAATGCTTTATGAGTTAGCTATGGAATATTGCCTTGAAAGTTTAGGAGATATGAGGACATTAGGGATTTCTACTTCTCGACACAGTGACACACTTGAGGGTAAGAGGAACCATCGGTCGTAGAGAACTTGACTTGTATTCTGAAAAGTGGCTCATGGCCCACACATATATTCTTTTCAATGAAGATGAAATTGCACCATATATTAATAGACATATGACTTTTTTGAAGATGCATAATCGAAAGGCTAGCTCCAAAGCTTTAGCTATTGAACAAAGTAAAACATTTCATCTTTGTCTCAAGGATCAAGTAATGAAAGAGATCAAAAATTCCCCACAAACTGTTTCTGACCGACTTAGAAGTTTAGCTAATGGTCCTGATTTCTCTGCCTCATTTTTCTCTGGTTATGCCATTAATGGCTACACTTTTTATACTAGGGAGCAAGATGATAAAAGCACTATGCAAAACAGCGGGGTATGTGTTGAAGCGGAAGCGATGCATTTGTCTAGTTCTAAAGATAATCGACCTGTTTATAGCAAAATGCAATACTATGGGGTAATTGAAGAGATATGTGAGTTGCATTATATGGGTTTTCGATACCTATTTTTGGTTGCAAATGGGCTGACAATAATAACAATGTTGTATGCGATGGTTTAGGGCATACTACTATGAATCTCAACAAGATAGGTCATACAGAAGATCCATACATTTTGGCTAGTCAAGCTAAACAAGTGTTTTATGTTACTGACCCGTGTGATAAAAGAAAAGCAGTTGTTGTCACATCGAAACCTCGATATGTCATTGATGACAATGATGACAATATTTCTTATGAGGAGAGGTCTACCCCTAGTGAGGTACAAAATGTGGATGATAGTCTTGATGATACAACAACATATATACGTAGTGATCATGAAGAAGTGATTTGGCATGACAATGAAAATAGTAATGCTAATAATCGACCTAAAAAGCGGCGTCGTACAGGTTATTATGCTACTAAAAAAATCTGATTCTTATGGTTCTTGTATTGAAATTTATAATCTGTTCTTGATATAGAGTTTTTAGACAAATGCTTTATTTTATTTGATTTTAATGACACTTCTTAGAGATGATTTCTAATATATTTGTATGTTTGCAGGTTGATGTCAAAAAAGAGAAAGCAAGCAAGTGCTAATGAGGCCTCTGAAACTGGCGAGGCTGAAGAATCTGCTGAGTGTGAGAATCGAAAGGGTCGTACAGTAGCTGCAGTAGTTGGAAAAGCAATTCTGAGTGGTGTCAAAATCCCGTTGGAATGGAATCACAATAAAGTGCCAGTTGGGGAAAATAGAGATATTTTTTCATCATACATTGGTGTAGTTGTTCGTGAAAAAGTGAATATCAATCATCGCGACTGGGAGGAAGTTCCGAAAGAAGTTATTGATGACCTCTTTAAATTCATTACGGTAAGCTATTTAATTTTTTGGTTTGAAATCTAAATATTGGTTTGGTCATTTTTTTTTTGCTGGAGGATGTCTTTGTTTTGTTTTCGATGGTCATACAGTTCTTGAAATAAATTAGCTATACTACTAAGCGAGACCGCAGTAATTCTGATGAGGCTAAGCATTCATATGCTGATTTTATAAAGAGTTACTATAACAACAAGGGCTCTCAAGACTGTAAAATGCCAAGGGTATTATAGCTCAAATTATTTGCTTGATTTGGATGATATCGAGAAATCTTTGGTAAAATGAACTGGAAACTTTAAATAATGCTACGAGAGAGAAGGACTGATTTTTCCATTGATTGATAGCAAAATTATACAAGTTAGTAGCTTGAGGCCACCACTCTCCTTAGCAACTTGAGGTTGCAACTCTCCAAGATTTTCCTCACAAATTTCTGGATAAAAACTCCTTAATTCCTAGACTACAATCCTTATACTACCCATTCCTAGACTATAATCGACCTTGTCTACATTGACCTTGCTGCTACATGTGAGTACTTAGCTTAATTAGGAAAAACCATACTAAAACATAATAAAACTAACTGCTGACTTTCCTTCTCTTCTTCTTAATTGTATTTGTCTTCTAATTAATTGGAATTGCCTTGCCTTGAGACTTCCCCTGCTGCCATCCTTGTTGTTGGTCTTGGTGCCCGATTGTCCTTCTCTTGTAGACCCGTATAGGCTGCTCTTGACCCGAGTTTATCACAGTGGTTTGGCCAATTGTGATGCTAAGTGTGTCCTGTCAAAACAAAAGGAATTTCCCTTGCCAAAACAAAATGCTGATCAACTCTTTTTACAAGAATTTATACCTCTTTCAATAGCTACTTTTGCAGAAGAAAGAGTATATTTATTACTTGATAAAATGTCAAAGCGATACTTGATCCCCTATGATGTAATGATTGTAAGTACAAAGGAGGTAAAAGCTCTTGTTCTCATCTGACCGACAGAAGTAGTCTGCTCTAAGAGTTTTTCTGCCAGCCAGCATAACGTCTTAGTGTAAAAAGTCCAGCTTTGCAGCAGTAAGCTGCCACCTGGTTTGATACAAAATTTTGTATAATAGTTAGTGGAGACATACAGTTGCTTATTTGTGGTTGCTATTTAATTATCACAATGCTTTGGATAAATCACTGAAAGTAAATACGTTTTTGAGTGCTTTGGATACAATGTGCTGTTTCAGCAGTGTGGTTTTTCCTTTTTACTGTGATCTGTTTTACAGGTAGTTTTGAGCACATACATAAATTGGATTTACTGTCAAGGGGTTTTTTTTTTTTTATATATTTTATTTTGTTTTAAGGGAATGTTGTGATCTGTTTTTCAGGTAGTTTTTTTTTTTTTGTTTTTTTACTTGACACTCAATGGAGGTGATCATGAATTGTATCTTTGTATAAAGATTGATGGTGTAGTACGTATGTTCTGTTTTACTCATTTGTTATTATTCTTGTCTTATGAGTTACATGGTTTTAAACCTTAAAAAAGAAAAGAATATCGCTAATAGATAAAAAAGCCGTCTTTAGACAAAAGACAAAGCATCAAATTTAAAAGGTAAGAGATCTAACCTGCATTTTTGCTATGTTTTTGCTTTGCTTGATTGGAGAATTTCACACTTTAGAAAGAAATTAAAATGATGATATTGTAAAAGAGAGTAGAAAGTGTTAACAAATGAAAGTGTTGAAGTATGAAGAATAACAAAATATGTGCAATATTTATAAGAATAGGAAAAGTGGAAATTGAATCAAGAGTACTTACCAAGTCAACTGACTAATGAAAGCAAAGTCTTTTTTATTTATTAGGAAAAGTGGAAATTGAATCAAGAGTACTTACCAAGTCAACTGACTAATGAAAGCAAAGTCTTTTTTATTTATTGTAAAGCCTTGTTTTAATCTACCTTTGTACTGTCATAGTGTAAATGCCGCGTGTCAGGCTAATCAGGTGAGCCCAATGGCAGCTTCCATTTTCGTCAATTTGTCATTTTTAATTTTTTGTTTTTTAGTCGTATTTTGGATTTTTTTGGTGATTATAGTGATAACCAGATCATGATTCATGAATGTGATCTCTAAATTAGACATATACAAGTAACCCCATAGTATTACATGGTTTTTTTTTTTTTGTTTTTTTTTTTTTTTAATTGACACTCAATGGAGGTGATCATGAATTGTATCTTTGTATAAAGATTGCTGGTGTAGTACGTATGTTTTGTTTTACTCATTTGTTATTATTCTTGTCTTATGAGTTACATGGTTTTAAACCTATTACATATTAATGCATGTCAAGGAATTGTGCAGAGAGGATTTATAGTGCCGGAAGAACGTAGAAATTATGTATTAGGGAGAGCTTCAATCCGATGGAGAGCTTTCAAGGCCAGATTAAGAAAGGATTGGATGTACGACACCAAGGGAGTAAATCCAAATGTGATTATAAAGAATCCACCTTCGATATATCCATTTATAACACAAGCTGATTGGACCAAGTTCATTGAAACATATACTGATGATGCGTTTAAGGTAATCTTTGAATTATAGCCCATAACTAATCATAGTTATGAAAAAACCTTTGAAAACTGGGAATTAATTGTTTGTACATTATTATATTGAAAGGAACTAAGATGACAAGAATCGAGAGAGGGCGAAAATGAATACTTCAAGATATCGAGGAGGTCGAAAAGGGTACTTGTATTATGAACAAGAGATTGTAAGTTTAGAAATGATTATGTCAGATTTTTTGTTGATTTTTTTTTACGGAATAACAGTAAATAATCAATTAAGGGATGACTTTTAGTTGTTAAATGGCGTTGTGTTATATGTATTGTCAGGCTGCTGTACTGAAATGATTATGTCAGATTTTTTGTTGAACTTTTGTAGGAATAACAGTAAATAATCAATTAAGGGATGACTTTTAGTTTTTAAATGGCATTATGTTATCTGTATTGTCAGGCTGCTGAACTTCAGAAACAAGGAGTGCAAGTTAGAGACGTGCCTCGACATTTGGTTTGGATAAGAGCTCATTCCAGACAAAAAGATGGTGCAATGACCTTTGACAATCCTGCTGATTTTGAAATAGCTCAAACAATTGTGAGTTTGTTTCTACTTTTGAATCAAATAAATTATTTGGCTATAATAGAGTACACCACCTTAATTAGGTTGTTTATTATTGATGTCAGAAAGCATTGGAGGCTCAACAAATCCAAGGAGAAATTGAGGCCACTGGCCGAAATGATATCCTAGCGAGAGCATTAAAGAATCCTGAACATGGTGGTTGTGTTAGGGGCGTTGGGTCGGGTTTTACAAATAAGCTGTACTTTGGCTACTACAAACCATTACCACAAAGTCAATTGCAATCAGATCTCAAGTGTCTCAAATCAAAATTAGAAAATGTGGTTAACACACAAAATTTGTTGTTGTCTTACTTAATGTCAAGTGGTCAGGTTAACACGGAGCAATTGAAAGAACTTAGTGATTCAAATGGAAACCAAGTTGCCCATCAGTTAGCGGGTATCCAAGCTGGTGGATCTGGTGGCCAAGGTTTAGATGGCCTTGGCTTGGCTCGTGACAGTTGGCTTCAAGGTCTTAGCTTCTAACTTGCCTCGGAGCAAAACAAAGTTACCCATCAGTTAGCAAGTGTCCAAAAGGGTGGTTCTGATGGTGAAGAGTTAGATGATCATTTAGATGTCTTTGGCTCCAAAGGTGACCAAGGGGTTCAAGGTTTCAACTTCCAAGAGCAGAATTTTCAAGCATGTGAGGTTCAACCCGAGCCATACCATGTTGCGTGGCCTAAGGAGGAATATGTGCTAGAAAATGAGAATTTGGAAACGCATGTACTCAATAATGAACAAGACATTACTGGCCAACCATTTCCAAAGGTAACATTATTTCATAATACTTTTATGGTTGATGTAAGTACTTATATCCTAGATTCTTCTTATGGTGTTAAATTATAGACTACTACATCTTATCAATCCACAAAAAGTTTATTAATACCATAATCCATATTTAGGGAGTTGATAGTCTTTGTTCCTTGGCAATTAAGAGTGACAAAGGGGTCGATATAGTTGCTATTGGAGAAGTGTATGTTGGGATGGAAGGAGAAGTTGTCAAGCATCATTTCAAGCCCGTCCCAAGTGGTCATTATCGAGTTTGTGTTAAAGAAGAAATTAACCCAAATGCACCTCTGCCATGTCCTGAAGGGGAGATAAGATTCATTTGTCAAACTTTAAATTATTATTTAATATGGCCTTCTCACTTGGTTTTTCCTATAAAGAAGGTAAAATTCAGTTTTAAATTATAATTATCTGTCACATTATATACCTGTTAATTTTTTTTTGCTGATTTTTTCCCTGCGATTATATGACAAGGCTGATAAGCAAGTCACTAAAGAAATCGCTGCACCATCTCCACACTTGCTATCATCACAATCATCATGCACTCAAAAGTACACAATAACTCATGCTGATAAGTTGAAGTTGACTTCTAATTTGGTTCGAGTATTTAAGGATGTGGCTATTGCAATGAAAACGAGCGAAATCTTTTACAGTTTTGGCTAGAGTGTTTCAAAATGAGCAATGTATTACCCTTGATTATGAAGACATGCTTGACTGGTGCTTCCAAAGAGAGATAAAATCGTCACACATGTCAATTTTAATGATGTAAGTGTTGTATCCTTTGCTATTTCTAGGTTAAATTTATAACGCTTTTTGATTAATGAGCTAATAAATATTTGATATGCATGGTATATGAGTGAGATTGTTCATACATAAGGTATCTTAGGGTTGTATGGATTTTGTGATTGCAACTATCTATCCCTGTATGCTCCAACTGTGGAAAAAGACGATGATCGATGTGACTATCTAACTAGGCTATTTTCATGTAATGATGCCAAAAACAAAAATCAGCTCTTCTTTGCCCCGTATTATGAGGAGTAAGTGTATATGAGTCTATCACATATTTTTTTTTATCAGTTTTATTTCTAATTCCTTTTAAACATTCATTATTGTATTTGAATTCTATTGTTTTAATCAATATAGTGGACATTGGATGTTGGCTGTTATTTGTCCATGGGTTGGTTTGGTGCATTGGCTAGATCCCGCGGGAGTAAAAGATGAACCTCCCAAATTTGCTCAAACAATAATCAACAAGTATGTGCTAGATTACTTATTTTGTTACATGTTAACTTCTTTTTATGAAAGTATTTCAATGTTATTACTCTAATATTTTGATAATTACTTAGGGCAATGATCAATTTTAGCGCGGAACATCGAAAGGATATCACAAAAATAAAGAAGATACCTTACATTAAATGGATAAGCATAGAGGTATTTGTATCTTTAATATAATTTTGCAATGCTTAGTACATAATATATGTTGATACATTATATATAACTAGGTGTTTTATTTAACCCTCCCCTTTTTTTTGTATTAGTGTCCTCGTTAAGCTAATGGCTCTAGTGATAGTGGATATTACGTTTGTCGCTACATGATTGAGACAATTGAATCTAGGCAAATGATCATCCCCGACAAGGTACGACATTTAGTTTTAATGTATATTGAGTAGCTGATGCATACATCTAACTATACTCTCTAAAATTTGTAGTTTTTGCACAATTATGCTCTCTAAAATTACTGCTGGGACCTAAGTAATGGGGTTAGTTTTGATAGGAAATTGGGTGTGATTGTGGATGTAAGTCATGGGATGAAGGTTATGATTTCTGAAACGATTAATTATTTGGCTTTGTACTGAGCTTCAGGGGGGAAAAGTATGGGTGTGATTAATTCGAATGCTGAGATTGGCTCTAAAAATTATCAATTTTGGGATCAAAACACTCACTATTGTTACAACTTACATATTGTGATTTGAAGGTTTTTCAGAGAAAATGAGAACATTGGAGGTATTTGACTATTGCTATACCATAATAATACCATGGGAACCACCCCCCCCCCCCCCCCCCCCCCCCAACCCACCTAAATATGTAATAGGAAAAGAAAATTAAGAAGATCTATATGGGTTTGTAAGGGTTTTAACTCTAAATAAAGACACGAGGGTCACTGGTGTTTTATAATCCTGACACAGGCTCTTAAATTCACATTTGGTTCTGTAATTACCTGATTGTAATTGTAAACAGTTTTAAAATTCAGTACTTAGTATTTTTTTTATTTCCTGGTAATTGGGTTCTGTACATTGTCTAGGAATGCATAAACAAACAACAATGTGCCATATTGATATTAGAAGTGATTGGAGAGGATTTTATTCTATTTACAAAACAGCTAGGAAAGATGCTAACAGCTGACTAAAATGCTTAACGCTATTCCCTTTGGCCTATGTTTCATCTCATGAGAGTAATCGTGGGTAATCTTGGGGATGCAAAACCAGAGTGTGAAATGTAATGCGGCTCAGATGGAAAAAGAAAGAAACCCCCTTAGTTTGAGAATGATCAGCTTATGATATTTTGTATTACTGCTGATTTGTCAATACATACTGCTTGGACACCAGATGAAGATTTTGGTATCCTTCTGGAGGCAGCAGTTATGTATGACAGAGGTGTTGCAGCAATCTTGAATGAGGACGATTCAATTAAAGAAGAGGTCCTTTGGGATGAAATGAACGACGGGAAACATAATATATACCCTAGATTGCTATTTGTGATAACAGGTGCTTGTTGTCTAGACTCATAGAACCATGTCCCTAGTGAGAATCATAACCCTGGTGAGAAAACTCTTCACTCTCTTCCAGTACTTAATCATCAGTTAAAACCCGGGGGCCATCATAATGCTGAGAAGCTGTTGTTTCACTGCAACCATCACTGGCTGTCAGCTTCTTGACAGCAGGTAGTCATTTAAGCCTCCAAGCTAGGAATTTGCTTATTCAGGCAGTGACTAATATGGAGATTAACCAGGCTCTTCATGCTATTGATGACTTCGCCCCTGTGTCTAACGACCTTTAACTACTAACTGAGGCTTATTTGTTATCCATGCCCCACAGTGACTAATATGTATTTGTTATCATTGTGCAATATCCTTAAATGTAGAACAATTTATTGTATATTATTAACTAATATGTATGTATATTTCATTGTTTTGTAGTATTTTAAGCAAGTTCCTCATACATATTCTCAACAAATGATTGACGAGCTTAGAGAAAGGTGGATTTCATATGTTACCGGATACCATCAACCAAACGACGACGATGATGATTTATGTGAATTGTAGATCAGTATGGTATTGGTATATTTTGGGGCATCAATTTTTTTTTTTAATCAACATTAACTAGAAAGGTTTTTGATATTTAACTCACGTATTTGTTTGTATAGAACAAATTTTGTATGAATGATTCTATTTAATTGTGATATGAAGTATATTTTGATGGCTTTCGTCGTATCTGGAAATATTTTTGTTAATTTTATTATACAGAAAGTTATATTGCACGTACATGATCTTGGATTTATTTTACATATGAAATGTAAAGATCTTCTTACAGGATATATAAATTTACAAGATATAAAACAGGAATACAGGTCTAAAATGAAATACAAAAATAATTCAGATTATTAAAATACAGGAATAATACGGTATAAAATACATATGGCCGGATTTTTTTTTTTTAAAAAAAAACATTAGAGAATTGTTATCTAACTTAACCGTTCTCTATTGTAACGCAATATAGAACGGTTGAGTGGCCTAAACCGTTCTGTATTCCTTCCTTGGTGTACGAATTTAAGAAGGGAAAAGAGAACGGTTGTGACCAACAACCGTTCTCTATTTGTTATTATATAAAACGCCTACACGACCCGTTCTCTATACTTTATACATCGCTTAGGAGAAGAACGCCCCTAAGGCCATCTATAAAGCCTATTCTAACAGTTCTCTAAGGCCTTTTTTGTAGTAGTGGTTAACAAATTATTTTTTGCTTCTTCACCAGATGGGACTCCGGTTAACACTTATTCTGGCCTTTGTGCCATTTTCAATATTTAATGAAGTATTCCGACTCAGTCGGTTGTTTATACATGTTTGTGTTTGAATTTTTCAATTTAAATTTTGCGTATATTTGCAATTCTTTAATATTTTGCCTAACTTAAAAAAGCATGCGGCAATTTGGATTCCGAGTGCTCTTGCCCCTAGACGGCTGTGTGGTTGGTTTCATTTCAACTTGATTGATTGGCTTAAAAATACTTGATACTTGGAGAAGTATGAAGTGTTTTTAGGCCAATCAATCACAATGGTGATTGCCCCAAACCAAGTGCACAGCCGGCAATTAGAGCGGGTGCTTTGAGCCTCTTAACCAAGCGGTAATATTCCGTCTGGGGTTATTACATAGCCATTACACAAAATCTTTTGCCCCAATTGGGAGAGAGAGTGCAACTTTGGAATAAATAACCTAAGTGAGAACTTCAGCCGGTAACCGACTGATGCCTCGGGGCATCCGGTATTCGGTAACTTAACCGTTCATCGTAGATTATTCTTGTCAGACGACTATGAGTTGACCAATTTGGTCGTTCAATTTTCGCCGTCTGCATAAGTACGTAGAACCGACAAATAGTCTGTTCTCTGCGACGATTGCATCCGGAGGGGTGTCGTCGGACGCCATTGTCCATGTTGGGACAGGCGGTTTTATAAAATAAACAACCATCCGGCCATTTGGCCTTTGGTCTTGTTTGAGACCGGTTGTGTAGCCACCAAGCGTTTTTGTACTTAGTTTTTAAGCTGGCCATTGGCCACGCGATATCATGTTTCTATTAAGTGTCAATTTAGTTGGTTAAACAATTTGTCCGTCTGGGTATTACCTAGGCAGAAGGGTAAATATAACATTAAATTTCACTAAGTATCAAACTTAGTTGATTAAACTTGGTAATCCATCTGAGTATTACCTAGGCGGATAGATAATTATATAATTGAATCTACACTAAGTGTCAAACTTAGACAGTCAAACATGAGTTCCGTCTGAGGATAACCCAGGCGGGTAAGTAAATATAAGAATAGCAAAAAAAATTTGCAAACAAAGTCTGATTTCTCATTGATTGACTCACTGTTTACAAAAAATTTACATTTCTCAGAAGTAGTACTTTTTTTACTTATCTACATTCCAAGTTCTAGGTAGACGTTGGTCGTCTGGAGTTTCCAGACGATAGGTGCCATCCCTGACTTCTTCATAATCCGGTAGGGGCCTTCCCAATTAGGAGTTAGCTTTCCAGCCTCATTGGCCCTACCGGTTGCCTCCGTTTTTCGTAACACAAAGTCGCCAACTTTCAAAGGACGCTTGCGTACTTTCTTGTTGTAGTCTCTCGTCATTCTCAGACGGTATATCTCATGGCGCAGGGCAGCATTGCCCCTGCGTTCCGGGAGGGAGTCCAATGCTAGCCGCATGGCCTCCCAATTTGCTTCTTCATCATAGAGCATGACTCTGAGAGTCGGCTCGTAATGTTCAATGGACAAGACGACTTAGCACCGTATACCATAAGAAATGGGGTTTCACCATTTTCCCCTTTGGCAGTAGTCCGGATGGCCCATGGGACATGAATTAGCTCTTCTGCCCATAAGCCACCGGCTCTTTTAATTTTCTTTTTTATGCCGTTTGAGATGAGTTTGTTGAAGGCTTCAACTTGGCTGTTTGCTTGGGGTCGGCCGACTGATGCAAAACAATGTGAGATACCCTGATCTCCCAACCAAGTCTTAAGATGAGGTGTTTCAAACTGAGGGCCATTATCAAACACCATAGACATAGGTACCCCGAACCAGGTGATGATGTTCTTCCAAATGAAAGAGATGACATCCTTTGTCTTGATGTTCTTGACCAGCTTAGCTTCTACCCATTTGGTGAAATAATCCACAGCCACCAAAATGTAGCGCTTTCCGCTTGGAGCAGGCGTATAAGGACGCAAGATATCCATGCCCCATTTAGCAAATGGGACTGGGATGTGGATTGCCGTCAGATCAGTAGCTGGGCGGTGAATAAGCTTGCCAAACCTATGACACTTGTCACATCTCTTCACCAACTCTTTAGCGTTTGCTTCAAGAGTAGGCCGAAAGTAATGCCGTCGGGCTCTAACGGCTAGGGACCTGCCGCCTATATGCGAGGCATAGTACCCAACATGCAATTCTTCAAGAACTTCTTTCCCCTTTTTTCGGGTAACACACTTCAATAGAAGTTTAAGGAAACCCGCCTTGAAGAGCTCTCCGTTTCTCAACTCGAAGTTTGCTGCTCGCTTCTTCATGACGGCTGCTTCCTGTGGTGAATCAGGAAGTATTCCGTCTGCTAAATATGCCCGGATGCCATCCATCCAGGTAGAGCTTGGTCCAGAATTCCAATGGGCTCTTCATATATACTTCTCTTTTCCAAAACTTCCCAAAAGACTGACCGAGGCATATCACAGCAGGCGGATGAAGCCAATTTAGACAACGCATCCGCCTGGTTGTTATCCGACCTGGGCACTTGACTCACACAGAATTCCTCAAGTGACTCGACCTCCTCTTTGACTGCCTGAAGGTATTTGATCATAGCAGGATGAGTTGCCTCATATTTTCCCTCATACTGGCTAACGACCAACTGTGAATCAGAGTAGGCGTCAATTTTAGCTGCCCTGCTGCCTTACACATGTGAATTCCGGCTAGCAGGGCTTCATATTTTGCCTCGTTATTTGAGGCTTGAAACTTATACCGCAGTGCATATTCAAATCTGTCCCCATCAGGGGACTCATATATAATTCCTGCACCGCAGCCGTTCTTCGTCGAGCTCCCGTCTACATACACTTTCCAAACTTGATCTATGTTATCCAGTTGAACCGGTCATGTCATTTGAACAATGAAGTCGGCAAACGTCTGACCTTTCACTGCCTTTCTAGGTTCAAAAGTGATTTCAAGACTTTGCATTTCAATAGCCCATTTCAACATTCTACCGGATGATTCCAAGGTAGACATTGGCCGCTTGAGGGGCTGATCGGTGTAAATTACCACCGGATGAGCTAGAAAATATGGCTTCAATTTCTTGAAATCCATATACAGAGCAAGGCCAAAATTTTCAACCATGGGATACCGGAGCTCAGCATTTTTTAGAACATGGCTAATGAAATAGACTGGGAGCTGAATGTCGTCTCTCTTAGTAAGGAGAACAACACTGAGGGCATGATCTGAGACGGCTAGGTACATGTATAACGACTCTTTGGGCAGAGGGCTAACAAGCCTTGGCAAAGAGTGCAGGTGCTCTTTCAGCTTTTAAAAGGCCGCCTCAGCATCATCCCCCCATTCAAATCTGGTCTTCTTCCTGATTGCTTGGAAGAAGTAAAGGCATTTGTCACCTGACCGGCTGAGGAACCTCCCCATGTCAATTACCGCCTGTATCTTCTCGGGGTTAGCCTCTATCCCCCTTTAATCCGAGAAACTTCCGAGACTCAACACCAAAGACACATTTCTTAGGATTTAACATAACCTTATGCCGCCTAAGTGTGGTTAAGGTTTCTCGGAGATCAGCAAGGTGATCTTCCTGCTGCTTGGATTTGACTATCATGTCATCAATGTAAGCCTCCACATTCCTCCCAATTTGATTAATGAACACCGTATTAATCATCCGTTGGAATGTAGCCGGCGCATTTTTCAAGCCAAACGACATCACAGTGTAACAGAATAACCCCTGATCGGTGACGAAGGTTGTCTTCTCTTGATCTTTCTTCCACGGAAGTATCAGATGGAAGCCGGAGTAGGTGTCCATGAAACTCATCAAGGCATGCCCAGGTGTCGAATCGACTAGACTGTCGATATTTTGAAGTGGGTAACTGTCCTTAGGACATGCCTTGTTGAGGTCTATGTAATCAACACACATACGCCAAGTACCATTCGGTTTCTTTACAAGCACAACATTCGCCACCCAGTTGGGGAAATTACTTGGCCGAATGAACCCAGCGTCCAACAGCTTTTTTACTTCGGCAGCTGCCGCCTGACTTCTTTCCTCGCCGTGATTTCTTTTCTTTTTCCGGATGGGCTTCTTTTTAGGATCCACGGCGAGTTTGTGGACAGCAAGATCCAGGCTAACGCCTGGCATCTCTTCCACCTCAAAGGCAAAAATGTCTTTGAATTCCTTTAGTAGGAGGTGCAGAACCGCACCCAATTTAGCATGAGCAGCCGTCCCAACCTTAACTGTACGCTCTGGACAGCTGTCGTTCAGAGGTATGTCAATATGGTCTCCAGCCGGTTGGGGACGGAGCTCCGCTAACCGCTCCCCGGTCAGTGATTGCTATTTTTTCTCTTTCTTCACCTCCACCAGCAGCGGTGCCATTTTTTTCTTTCCGGCTGCTGATGGGGCTGGGGCTGAGTCTGGGTCGGCATCCTTGACATTGTCAAGGTCTATTAATTCCTGCCTTTGGCTGTCTGGGCCACAGT